CAAATTTCTTAATTTTCAGAACTGCTATAGTTTTACTCTACAATTACAAATAGTTTAACAAACCTAATTTAACTAGTTGCAGCTTCATTTGATCCGTGATTGTTGGTCGGACGATCCAAAAAATCGACCAAAAGCCAGCACCGTTAAACAACTGTTAGATTCATTTGGCCGTAAAGGGTTAATGTTTTTTTAATTTTCACTTTTATTTTGCTAATTATTTATTAAAAATTTGAATCGGACATCAGATTTCGATGACGCTTGTTTTTTCTATTTAGAAATTTAATGGATCATGTCTTTAAAATGATGGAAGAGTACGCACAAAATTTGGAAGAAGAAGTGGAACAACGTACTCGAGAATTGCTTGATGAACAAAAAAAATCTGACCTTTTGCTTTATCGCATGTTACCACAGTAAAAAATTTTTTTCTTGCATTCTAATCAACTTCAAACGTATTTAATTACTTGTTGAAAAAGCTTTATTTTAATAGTATCAGAGTATTGAAAGAAATCAGCAAAGTATACTGTTGCAGAGCAATAGCTGAGAAATTAAAACTTGGAGAAACGGTTGCACCAGAATCTTATGATGCTGCTACAGTATTTTTTTCCGATGTTGTCAAATTTACTGAATTGGCTAGAAAATGCACTCCACTTCAGGTAATCGCAGCTTTATATTGATAAACTGATTTTAAATAAAATATCAAAAATTCCGAGAATATTGTAGTCTTACCACTCTTTTTACTGTTAAAGGTTGTCAGTCTTCTAAACAATCTATACACAATTTTTGACGGGATTATTGAGCAGTGTGGAGTTTACAAGGTATTTTTATTACCACAATCATTCCAAACTGTATCCTGCTAAACAAATCTGTTTTTTGCTTAAAAATTACAAATCTTAAAACGATACCAATGAAGAACTTCTGATTATTATTATATTGTTATTAGCTGGTTCTTAGGTGGAAACGATTGGTGATGGATATCTGTGTGTATCCGGATTACCGCGGCGTAATGGCAACGATCATGCAAAAGACGTTGCTGAGATGGCATTTGGATTCCTCCGTAGTCTAAAGTCTTTCGAAATCCCTCATTTGCCTGACGAAAGAGTGAAGATTCGAATTGGCGTGCATACGGGTTACTGAACTTGATTTCTGTTTCAGCAGATTTCTTGATCATCTAACAGTCTGCTACAACCATAACTTTTAGTAGAGGTTTAACGGATTGACAGCAATAAAATGTTTGGTAATAAGCAGAAACCTAGAACCTTTATTGCTTCCAAGCACGCTGAAGTTTTTTTTAACAAAAACTTATGGAAATACATACGTATGCGTTACAAAAGGCGAAAGATTCTAAACTTTTGCTTCTTTTGAAAGCAATTGATTTTTTATTAACACATTCTACTTCCCAATGTTATACGATGTCACAAACAATGCACAGATTTAGCTAGTTTAAAGATCAGTTTACTCCAAAAGTGAAAAAAAAAGGAATGAAGAAGAGCATGAAGAAAAGCTTAGCTTTAATAAAAATTTGATATTAGGATCAGAGTGCAAAATAATGAAATCCTTTCAGGACCTGTGGTTGCCGGAGTTATCGGCCAAACAATGCCCCGTTATTGTTTATTTGGTGATACTGTCAATACCGCTTCCCGAATGGAAAGCAACGGAAAACGTTTGATTTTTTGATTGATTTTTTTTTTGCATTTATCTTTAAAAAAATTCAAAAAAAAACTAATTTTTCGCTGTGCTAAAATTTCCAAATAAAAACGTTGTCGTTGAGAGAAAAAAGGTAGTTTGAAAAAATACTGTTTTTTTTCTTCAGCTGGACGTATTCATATATCACCAGAAACAAACAGATATCTTACGCAACTTATTGGCGGTTATCAAACCGAATCTCGAGGAGAACTAATAATAAAAGTAACAAAATTTTTTTATTGCTTATAAGTTTCGTCGAAAAAAGCATCAAAAATTAAACCAAATTATCAGTAATTGGTTGTGCTGAGACAATTTGACAGTTCGATAACATAAGTAATGTTCAGGGAAAAGGAGTAATGGAAACATTTTGGTTAATCCCACCCGAGGGGTACGCCAGTCTCGACTGAACAAAGTGGCTAAAATAATTAAGCTTTGTATATGTGTATAATATGAAAAGTTTGTACTGAAACTTTTAACTCTCATCCACAAAAAAATTTTTGAAAATCCAATTTTTACAAAAATGATTTTTTAGTTTAGAAAAGTTGAATAAATTTTTAATGCTGATGTGCTTGAGTGACTAATTTGTTGGAGCTGCAAAACTGTTTCTTCGAGAATCTTCATGTGCTGTTATATATGAAATTTATAATAATCGAACCAGGGAAAAAACTTTTCCAATAGATGACCTTTTTTTTTTTCAAACACGTTTTCTTAATCATAATAAAAATTTTTGCTTTTCTTTTGTATAAGAATTATGATGAACAGCAGAATGAGGATGATACAGCGACCCACGGTAATCTGAGTGTTACCGCCAAAACGACGAAAAAACGGCAGAAAACTTTTTTTTCAAACATAAACTAAAATGTATCTACATTATTGCTTTCATAAAAAAGGAAAAAGACAAATCCATCTTTTTTGGATGGAAATATATTTGTAACCAAAAAAAAAAAACAGATTTGTTAAAACATATAATTTTGGTAGGGAGCAATTTTCGTAACTATTGGAAGACTTTTATTGCGGCCGTTGTGTTCAGCTGGTGAATCACAGTAGTAAAACCTTTTTTTCGACAAACTATTACCAGTCTTTTCTTCACCAATTTCCACAGTTATAGCCTGTTCGGAACGTTCGGGCTAAATTTTTTTCAAATTTTTTCACTTGCTAACTTCTCAGCTGCATCTTGTTTTACAAATACGATGTGACTACGGAAAAAGGAATAGCGCTATACCTCCTCTGTACGTATAATTATGGCTGAAGGAAATTTTCGGTTTTTTGAAAACCATGAACTATCCATTGCTTTGCTGCGCAATAATGATAGCCGTTTTGCAAACTCATCACTCACCGTCCGACTCTTACGAGACAGATCTCCCCTAAAGACTTCAGTACGTTACACAAATATCAACTTGAAGATATTTTAAAAAAAAAAGCGAAAAGTTTAGCATTATCATAACAAATAGTTTTTTTGTTTCGAAAATTTTTATAATCACTTTCCTTTATACTTTTTAAAAAAAATTTATATTTACCCTTTGCTGTCGAGGTGCTGATATGAAAATGGTTGTTGTAGTTCCCGAAGATTACTATTGCAATATCTGGTGTCAGTAGCTTGCTTAGATTCTGCTGCATATGCAGGACTACGAAAAACCTACAGTTTTTACAAGTAATCAAACTACTTCCACAAATATAAGATACTTCATTGCAAAAAGTCAATAATTAACAGTGATCGTCATAATTTGAAATATTTACCGAATGAGTAGTAGTTTAAGCTTAATGAAGCTAAGGACTGTGCACACTTTTTGAAGTTGCTGCCTTATCCTTACTTTGGATTACAGTATTGTCCTTTTCAATTTTTCATTCAAAATAACAGTACCAAACTGATTCATCACTTTTTTATCATTAAACATCGTCTGGAGAAACATAGGAAATTTTAAGCTACTGAAATGGTGGCTATGCTGTATGTATCATCAGTACATTTGAGACGGCTGGTCGTGGGATAGAAAAGCGTCCAGAATAAGACGGCGGTTCAGAGCCTTTTGTTTCTAACGATTCATTCACACCAGATATTTTCAAATCTTCCAACGAGTATGATCGAGTACAATGCCTGCAAAATAAGAAAAATAACTTTTTTATTAATAAAATTGTAAAAAAGAAAAATAAATATTTGATGCTGTAAACCAAATTTGTCACTTTTATAAGCCTCTTTTTCCTAATTTCTGCAAAAAGAAAAAACAAAACATAAAACCTTGGCTGGAAATTTTTATGCCCAAATATTGTCGAGTAACAGAAGCAGCACAATGCACAAAAAAGAACGCTGAACAATAGCACAGAAAAAATTGCACCATAAATAAAGCCAACCGTCCAAGCACAATCTCCATTTTCTCCCCATATTCGCGGATTTCGTCCAGTACATTCGTAAAAACCAGTAGAATTCTGAAAACGCCAAGAAAAAAACACAGCAGTATTGGACAATTTTGTACACTAAACAGTTCTTCCTAAAAACTTTTTCAAAGCAAATTTATTCTTTTCACTAACTAATGCTTTTGTGTTTCGCATACGAAGTGACCCACAACATCTGGCGCTGACAAATAAGATATTACTGTGTGGATCCTTCTGACACCACCCAAATAATTCTGTTATCAAAAAAACAATCCCAGCAGATTAAACTACTTAGTTACAATAACTTCTTTGAGGTGGAACAAGCTAGGCCTTGAAATTCTTACATATAACTTCAAAAATTCGGACAAACTGAAGACCTCGGATTGCACACAGTAATCATTATGATTTTTTATACATTAAATTCTACATAGGCGTAACATTTAACAATGCATTACCGTTTTAAAATGTCAAATGCTTATGAAACCTGATACACCAAATAATTGACTTTTGGAAGGAAAACTTTATCTCAGAGAACTTCTTTCAATAGCACAGGTACCGTGCTATCGAATCAGAAAGACTATTGCTGTTACAAAAAAATGCCATGTGAACACTCATCAGCTCAATTTATGCCCTCTTTTACGTGAGTTCATGTACAACGGCATTTCTGATTGGAAAGTGTGTGTTAAAAATAGTGATACAGTAGATAACAGTATCATCCAAGTCTGGAAAAAATGTGATTCCCCTTGCAACTTCTCTAAAGCAGAAGCAAC